GGGGGTGTGTGTGTGTCGATGAGCAGTTGAGTTTGGAAGGGACATTTTATTTGCTTACCTGAGATTTCCAAGGCGCGTGAGCCTGAAACGTCTGGAATGCCCTCAACTCTCTGTCTTCCCCACAGCCCTCTGAGTTCTAATGACAGGCTCTCCTACCTCACAGTATCCCCACGGGTCCGTGCAAAAGGGTGTTCTTGAGGTGGGAGAGGGTCTGGTGCCGGTCCACAACACAGATGCTCTGGGTTCCCCAACCCACCATTTTCCTAACCCCGTCTTTTCTCCAGCTTGCCTGGGCCCACTCTTCATTCCTAGACAGCTCCCTCTAGACCTCTCTCTGGCCGCTCTCCATCCGGTACCTGCCTCCTCCCAACAGCCTCTCATCCTGCAGGGTCTCGCCATCTCCAGCCCTTCCATCAGCGGGTTTGCTACGGATACCAACTTCACTTGCTCCTGCTGGGCCTCGGTCTTCTGCTGCTGGTCATCATCTGTGTGTTTGGATGCCAAAGTGAGGGCCACAGTGGTGGGCAGGGCTGGGGAAGTGATCGGGTACAGTGGTGAGAAAACCATGGGGACCATATGAAGACCACAGTAGAAGCAATGGGGCTCGGGGGGGTTGGGCACAGTGACCACAGCAGGGCAGGTCTGGATTCCTGGCAATAGCAGCGCCATCAGCAGTCATTGGGGCCATTGTGGGCCCCAATGGGATGCCATGGGGATGCCGTGGGATGCCATGGGGATGCCGTGGGATGCCATGATGGAGACATGGATGGGGTGAGAGATGAGCCCTGGGAAGGGCATTGCCAGGGGCACTGATGGAGCCAGTGATGGTGTCGAAGCCCTAGAGGCAAAGAGGGTTGCCTCTGGTGATGTGGACAAAATAAAGTCCCGTGACACACATGGTGTGCACTCAACTCTCAACCTAAATGTTGGTGATGAGCATTCACCCTGAGGCTCTGAGGAAGGAGGCTCCTGGTGGTCTGATTCAGGAAAGCAAACTTCACGGGGCAGCTCTGTGCTGTGCATTGAGGGTCGCCACAACGCCGAATCACTTAAGACAAAAGACTTATGCATTCTAAGTCTCCGTTGACTCCTCTCTAATGTGGGGAGCAACCGCGCCTGCCCCCTCGGGTCCTTGTGAGGACTGAGTGAGGCAATATGCAGACAGCACCTTGCTCAGTGCCTTGCACGGGCAAGGTTCCATCTCTGCTGACTCTGATGGGCCCATCCTACTAATCAGTTACCAAGCTTCAGAGGGACCTGTTGACCCTGAGAACAACTTCCCTCAATTTGTCATCCAGCACCGCAGCTGAGATCCAGGCACTGAACAGCCAGGGTGAGCCTGGGGGGTGGGGTGAGGAGGGCCGGGGAGCGGTGAGGGTGGTAGCTGACTCCTGGGCACTGAGCTCCCTGTGACCCAGATGGCAGGTTCCAAGGAGCGGTGACATCTCTGCAGAGCGAGCTGAAGGAACACAAGCAGCTGCTGCAAGCAGGTGAGACCCCTCCAGGAGTGCGTGTGGAAGGGAGGGTCCAGGGGCTCAGAGAAAAGGGGTTGCCGCCTAGAGGGTGCTGAGGTTCACTGCCCTCCAGGCCAAGGCTTGAAGGACAAGTTGCTGACTCTGGAGAGCAACCTGGAGAAAGAGAAGCAGGATCTCAAAGCAGGTCAGAGACAACCCCCCCTCAGTCCTCCTTGGGAAGGTGATGGGGAGGGCTTGAGGGCACCTGTCATCCAAGGCGTGTCCCCACTCCCCAT